TAAGAAGAAAACTTATATGCTCATAACATCATCATTTCAAAGCTTAGGAAGATCATTTAAATTTAGTTCCTATTCTGTAATTTTTTTTTAACAAACGTGTCTTCACAGCAGTGTAAAGAAGGGAATATGCTTATTTTAAATATTGTGCTGTTGCTAAGACCAAACATCGAATGATTACTAGTTTGCGTGGCCACCTAACAATGAATTACCAAGTTTTCCAGGAGCCTCAAATATCTGAGTGCTGGCCAATTCAAATTCTTCCGAATGGTCTACTTTTGCTTTACATGTTAGCCCCAGGCTTCTTTGCTCTCCCATATCTTTGATGACTGACACTGTGATGTAAGTTCAAAATGTTTGTATAGAGTAGTTTCTGAACAATACCTCAAAATAAATTTGATGATATAGCACTCGACCACTTAAGTCTATGCAATCTTGAATCACCTAAATTCTTATATAGGATGCTGTTTCCATATCCCAATATAGCCTGAGGCATCTTCAGTAGCATAGATGAGTAGGCCCTATGTTTCATTTTGTGACTAGATTCTCAGTATTCTCACCCTCTTCATGATGTTACAAATTCTATCAAATTTTACTTCCATAGGGGAGACTCACTTTTTTGAAAAAAGGTTTGAGTTGTCTTGTTTTGTTTTGTTTTTTGCTTTCAAAAGAAGAGATATATAATAAGTTTATAATAATATGAAAAAGCACTGTACTAATAGTACAAATTAAGTTTAAATTAAATATGGGGGTTTTTCATAGGCTACAGTGATCATAGGATTTAGAGCAGGTGGGACATAAGAAATCATCTTGTCCAACACCATCATTTTGCAGAAGAGAAAACTGAGGCCCATAGAAGGGTAATAACTTGGCTTGGGTCACACAGGTAGTAAGTGGGAGAGTATGGGATTTGAACCCAGGTCATCTGAATCTAAAAATCTAATATACTCTTACCTCTTTCACAATTTCTGTAATGTACTCACCAAAATTATTATTTTCATTCCATTTCACCAAGAGCAAGGGCATAAGTGAAGCTGCCTTCTGATACCTGAATTATCTTATATTGAAACATGATTCTGTTTTTATCCTTTAAAAAAGATAAAAGACTAAATTCAATTTATTTATTTAATAAAGATGAAGGAAATCAATGTACGGAGAGGAATGATGAACAAATCAATGAATTAAGGTTTTCTTTGTATTTGTTACTAAGGATATTTATTTGTTAGCTTAAGAAATTTGAACATCACAGATTCCAATAGGTAACAAGATTGATAGGACCTGGATCACTACTCGAAATGCAAGATCTGTGAATCTCTATTGTGCTTGTAGAAATTATAACAAATATTTTATTTACTGAGAGTCTTGATATCTTTAACCAAGGTGGAACACTTTATTGAAAACAAATGGTTACCTGATTTGGTTCAACTATAGATCCATAAGAAGATCCTGCTAATTGTTCTCTCTTGCAAACAGATCAACATGGGCAGCTTTTTAACGTGGGTGTACATGAAGCACAAGAGAACACACATGTATATATGTGTATATGTATGTATATATAAGTGTACATATGTATGCTGTGTGCACATTTCTATAATGCAACCTTTGCTTAGAATATAATTTTCTGCTGAGAAATATTTTTCAAGTATTAAAAAAATAAGCATTATTAATGGTTCATAAACTCTTAGCCAGAAAAATCTTAAAAATCTTGTTTTACAGATGAACAGACTGAGGCTTAGAAAGATAAAATGACTTGCCCAAAGTAAATGGTTAATTTGTGGCAGATTCAGTAGAATTTAAGTTTTTTGACAGCCTATTCTGTTTATGTTCTTTTTGTTTTTGTTTTATTGTTCTCATTTTTAAAATGATGCATTATTATTAAATGCATTACTAAAATCTGTTATTATTAAAATAATGCACTAAAGATACAATGAGGAAGGGAATAAGCCTTTATATAGTATATACTCAATGATAGGCACTATGCTAAGTGCCTAAATATTTTACAAATATTATCTCATATGATTTACTTTGGAACCATTTATACTTAAAAATTAATTTCTACAGTGAATGTATCTATAATAACTTATTAGTTGTCCTGGCCCCCCCCTTTTGTATTCTATTTGTCCATTCCTTTTTATGTATTTGGGTATAGTCAGTCGGTCAATAAGTATCTATCAAGTACCTATTATGTACCAGACAACACATGTGTTAAGTGTTGGGGATGCAAAAAGGAGCAGAAGACATATCCTGCCCTAAAGAATCTTACAATCTAATGGGGGGGCGGGGAGACAACAAGCAAATATGTACAAACAAGCTATGTACAGAATGAGTAAGAAATAATTAACATAGAGATGGTACTAGAATTAAGAGAGATTGGGAAAAACTACTTGTAGAAGGTGGGATTTTAGTATAATCCTTTTTGTACAGTAGGAATGGATATAGTTCTGGTCCTGTTTTTTCACTTTACTTCAAATAACTAATTTCTTTATATTCCTCTTTTTAATTTTATTTTTATTTGTGATGCACCATAGTTTTATCAGTCATTTTTCCAACTGTTGACCATTTAGTTTGCTTCCATACATTTATATTTACAAATAATGCTATTATGTATTTTTAACAGATTAGGATACATGCTTAATAATGAAATTAATGGGTAAAAGAAAATGACTATTGTTTGTGACTCTTACATACCACCACCTTCCCTTCCAAAAAGTTTCTATCAATTTGCAATTCTGCCAACAACACATTCTTTTTAAATCTGATTTGTTGTAACTACCAGTATTGAGTTTTGTAACATTTGTGCTTTTGGTGATTTGCTGGTTATAAAGTCGTCTGTGTTTCCTTTCAAAGTCTAAATTTATTGCTACTTTCATGATTACAGTGGAACCCTCTTGTAACAAGTGGGACATAAGAATAACAGCTGTCTCACATTCTAATGTGTATGACATGGTTTTAGAATAGTTGGTTATGGTCTTCCAGGATTTTTTTTTCCCTATTACTACTTTGGTTTTAATATCCAGGGTATAGGTTTGATCTTAAGTTGAAGTAAAGGTAACTGTTAATTTTCACACATTTAATAAAATATTTGTACAGTATGATGAAACTATCTGATATCAAAGTATAATATACATTATGTAGTGATATGTTACTAATATGATATGTTAATTATACTATTGTAATTAATTATAGTATAGTGATATATTACTAGCAGAATGCATACAATAATATACAATGATGTATTATAGTCACATGTAGCAATATGTCACTGTGTATCATAATATAGCAATTGTATAACATAGTAGTATTTTACTATCATGTATTACTGTATATACATATACATGTAATGATATAAGCAATGCACATAATATACTGTAATATAAAACTAAGAGCATACAATATTTATTACTGTATATTATCAGTAATATCATTGTATACATTCTGTTGTCATGTAACAATAATTAGTTGTAATACGGCAACATTAAATGAATATATTAACTTCATTGCTTAAGTTTGGAGTATTTAAATGATCTCTGGTCTGATTTTTCTCTCATTTATTGTGCATGAAGTTCCCATGGATTAATTAAGTTTAATTTTGGCTTTTGGAGCTCCACATTGTTCATCGCTAGTTGTGAATACCTATTTAGTTGAAAATTAATTATAAATACTAGTAATTCTGTAAGTGATGAAGACCAAAAAAGTAAATGTAATTAGTAAAAGTATTTTGGAGAATTGTCCCTAATGGAAGATACAGAAGAGTAACAATGAAGGCTAGTGTTATGTCAGTTAATCTAAATATTCAGTTGCTTCTCATAAATAATGACTTGGGGGAAATTGAAATCCAACTATATAATATTATCTTTTGAAAATTATATAATAAATTAATCCTTTTATGCATTGTGTATATAATTTTAGTGGAATAATTTTATACTAATTCATCACAATATCTTTCTGAATGTATAATTTGTTTTTCAAATTATTTCAATTATGAAACTGTCACACCATTACTTTAATCCCAAGTGAAAACAGGAAAAGGACCCTGGCAAAATAATATGCAGCAATAGTGTTTCTTGTAACTCTCATATTTCTTACATTTAAAAACTGAAACTCCTCACAGCCGGTGGGGCTTTTTAACATATCTGAGACATGCATTGTTTGACTTAGCCCTGATGTGTAATTTTTCCACTACTCACTTTTTGGAGGTAGTTCATCTAGTAGTTCGTAAGAGGGGTCATTAAATTATATAAAAGTGTGTGTGTGTGTGTGTGTGTGTGTGTGTATGTACCCTTTGAACCAATATTTTCATAAACTGGGGACATGAATTACCATAAAGAAGAGAAAAAAGTTCTAAGTTCCATTCCATTTTTAAACCCGTGATTCTGAGATAACATGATCTTCAAAAATATACTCTTTTTAGAGCAAGAGGGGACAACCTGTGATTTGACTGCCAGAAGCAATTCTTATAGAAGCCCAATCATGAGTCTGGTCTGGATCAGGAACCCTCCTCTGCCAATGCAAATTGGAAGATGCAGCAACTTACAGTTTTAGTAGTGTACTGACAACATGAACGACTTATCCAAGATCACATAACTAGTGTGTGTCAGAACCCTGCTCTTCCTGACACGGAGACTGACCCCCTAACCAAGGCACCACGTAATTGAAGAGCACTAAAAACCACCCAAATAACCAATGTTTTAGGAATACTTTGAAGCATTGTATTTCCCAATATACAGTAATTGGGGAGATTTGCATTAATCAAGTAGATCTTCTGACCTCAAAAATTACTGAGTTACCCGAGCTCCTGACACCTTACATGAAATGGTTTCCCTTAAACTACACATGTGAGAGGCCAAGGTCTCCATATCTTTTGATCATTTCTAGTCTCTTCCCGCCTCCACCCCCCAAAGTAGCACAATTCAACCTTTAATTACTTGAGGCTAACAATGTTGTGCAGAGCTGCAGAATTAAAATGAGCCCTTGAATATCCTCATTCTCATTCCCCAGCTACCGGAATTCTTACAAGAAGAACATTTGTATAGACATGCTACAACATGGCCATCATAAATCCTTCTGTGAGCTCTTCGCCCTGATCAAGAAGTGGCACGCCTTGAGGGAAGCTGGAGGGATTCGGTCGATCTTCTGGATACAGACGCCCCTAGAGGAGCTGCCTGAAAAACTGGACCACCTGTACTTCTTCCTGACCAAGGCTGAGGATGCTGAGCTCGCAGGTAGGGAGCCTAGAGCCTCTGCAGGAGTGGCTTTGAGCCAGTGCCTGAGGGGAAATTCTGAATTGTTTCATAGAGGGATCAGAAACATTAAGGCAATTTAGCACATCTCAACCTCAGTCAACTGGCTTTATAGAGTTGGGGAGGGAGGGAAAGAGGGAAGGATGGGGGGGACAGAGAGGGGGAAGAAGGAAGAGGGAGAGAGAGAGGGAGGGGAGGGAAAGGAAGGGGAAGTGGAGGTAGGAGAAGAGAACAGAGGAGAGGAAAGGAGAGGAGAGGAAAAGAAGCTCTGTATTACCGGGTGGTCAGTGTACCATCAGGGGTCCTGGTAACATCAGGGGAACCAGGGGAAAAATTGAGGGTGCTTTGAGATTTCACTAGAACCTTTCAAAATATCAGTGGTTTTGGTTACACCTCAATTCTGTGCTCTATCACCATTTTCTTCCATCTATAACCCAGCTTTTAATTTTGACCCAATTGGGTTTATTTCCTGATGGAATTTCTTTTTGGTAGCCTGCTTTTATTTTTGCATCATAGATTTTCAGGGCAAAACCCCAGAGTCCTGCATACTGAAACCTGATAGTTACAAGTTATAAATAGTCAACATAACCAGGAAAAGTTGTGATTCACTTTCAGTAGAGGCCCTTTGTGAATCACTCTGGTGTACATCACAAGGAAAACCTTGATACTTTCACTGATTTTTATACATTGTCTATATATGTATGTATGCATGTGTTTGTGTATATGTATATATTATATATATGTCTACACACGTGCTTGTGTGTGTGTATACATACACACATACACACACGAGGTAGAACTCATGGTACAGAGACAGAAGAGCTAGCCTTAGAGCCAGGAAGGCCTGGGTTCAAGTCTTGCTTTTTGATAGCCTGTGTGACTCTGGCAAAGTCACTAAATTTTTCAGTATGTTAAGCCACTCTCTAACACCGTAAATTACAGAGCATATATTAATCTGCATTAGTAAGAGTTTCCACACAGGAAAAGCCTTATATGTATGAAATCAAAAGACGTGAGGAGGAGGAAGAAGAAGAGGAGGATTCCTGTCTCTGTGGAATGTATGGAACTCCTATCATGACTATTTTCTCTAAGAAATAGAGAGTAATATAAGACAATAATATAAGACGCTAATAATATCATTGTGACCATCTATGTTATTATGGCTGTTTTCTGGCTTGTTAGAGTTTTGCTTTAGTATTATATAATTGGGATAGCTAATTGGTGCAGTGGATAGAGTCCCAGGCCTGGAGTCAGGAGGACTCATTTCCCTGATTTCAAATCTGGCCTCGGACACTTACGAGATGTATGACCCTGGATAAGTCACTTGACCCCATTTGCCTCAATTTCCTCATTTGTAAAATGAGCTAAAGACAGAAATGGCAAACTATTTCAGTGTCTTTGCTAAGAAAATCCCAAATGGGGTCACAAAGAGTTGGACACAAAACAACTGAACAACAACAATTATGTAATTCGAATATTCAATTCAAAAAACATTTATTAAATGTCCGTTCTGTTTAAGACCTTTGCTCATACCAATTCCATGAATTTGACACTCCTAAAATTTAATGTCCTGCAGGTGTATGTTGTAAGCAGTGAATCAGTCAACATGTGTTTATTAAACACCTATTCTGTGCATTTTGTCAATCTGGAGAGAGAGAGGAGATGGAGAAAGAGTGAAAGAGAAAGAGAATGGAGACCGAGTGATAGAGAAACAGAGACAGAGAAAGATAGAAATTGAGACAAAAAAACCAAGAAAGACTCAATAGGTTTTAAGATAAATGGATTAATTGTAAATAATATGCTCTAGTCAGTGCCCACTACTCACTTGGCCTAAAGGAATGAAAGGTACTTATCTATCTTCATGAACTGAAATTACAAAATATCAGTAGCCCTCCTTGTCAGTCATTGCTGAAATGGGAAATTACTTTGGGGATGAAAGAGTGGGAGGAGATTATTTTCAAACTTTAAAGTGTATTTGAGATGAAAATTTATCTCCTCCTGAAACTTCAACATTTTGCTTATATGTAATAGAATAATTACTTTGGTTTTCGAAATTTCCTTTGGAACCCTGGAGACTTGGGTCAATTTAATAATGAAGTTTGCAAGTTCCTTTAATATTCAAAAGCTGTCAGATTACTTTATCTTTGTTGAAAGATTAGCACTGTCTCATTCCACAAGGCTCTTAAATTACCTTGCAGCCAGGTTTAGGGCATCATTCTGCATCTTTCTTTCAAAGAAAATCCAAGAACTAGAGAGTATTAGCACTGGAATGGCCCTTCTGATTGGGACCTAGTGAGAATCATGTTTATGCCCTCAAGAATAAATATGAGCTTTTTTGAGTGCCCTTCTCTGACTCCCCCCAAAATGCCAGTGAATCTTCAATGTAGAATTCTGTGGTGGAAACTTCCTTCTAACAAGCTATGGCTATGATTAGAAATCCCCAGCAATGTCATCCAAGATCCAAATATGCTCTTACAATAGCTGTCACATATACAGTTGAGGGGACATACAGAAGAATGGAATAAAATGACCATTTTATTGTTGTTCAGTCAGTCATGTCTGACTCTTTGTGAGACCCCATTTGGGGTTTTCTTGGCAAAGATGCTGGAGTGGTTTGTTGTTTCCTTCTCCAGCTTATTTTACAAATGAGGAGACTGAGACTAAAAGAGTGAAGTGACTTGCCCAGGGTCACACAGGTAGTAAATGTCTGAGATCAAATTTGAACTCAGGTTTTATTGACTCCAGGCTTGGGGCTCTATCCATTGACCCACCTAGCTTTATTGTGCTTTGTATATGACTTCTAACACTTACTCCCAGTGTGTTTTTAGGATTGTCACCCTCTCTGTGCCTCAGTTTTCTCATCTATAAAATGAGGCAGTAGACTAGCTGGCCTCTGTGACCCCTTCCAGCTCTCTTATCAGTGATATCCTCTATACCCCCATCATGGTGACACAAGACTATGTCACACGGTCACAATCCATAGGCTCAAACTCACCTTTAGAGATGCGAGCTCTGACACTCACCTTAAAGGAGAAAACTGGGAATGATATTTCATGGTCAGCAATACCTTCTATGGGGCAGGAAGGCATGGATTTTCCAGATGAGAAAAAAAAAAAGGAGTAATACATTTGAAAAAAAAAAAAGAAAAACATCTTTTGGATTCAAGATAGAGAATGAGGCATAATATTTTTGGACATGACCAATGTGGGAATTTGTTTTGCTTGAATACATATTTTTTTTGTAAGAGCTTTATTTCTTTTCCAATGGGGAGGTATTGGGGGAGAAGGAAAATAAATGCTTGTTAATTGAAAAAATTCAATTAAAAAAGTCATGTCACTGATAGCTGGAAATGTTGAATATATTGTTTTCTTAGGTCAATCTAACCATCCTTTTGTTTCCTCTTGCTTTTAGAAGCAAATTTTTTTCCCCAGGGTGGGGGAGTGGGTGTGGGAAAAGGGAGAGAGTTTGAAGAGAAGACTTATGTATTCCAATTTCCTTTCTACTTTCTTCACATGCATCATCCTGGTGTCATGGTTGCTTTCACTGAAATCTACAAACACTTTTCAGGCATCAATCAGAAGAAATGGGATGGGCGGGGGCGGAAAATAATAATATTTTGGGCTACTTTCTTCCCAAGGGATTGAAAGTATTCCTGGATAATAGTGTCCTATTCTATGCCTTACCCAGGTGCTTGTATGTTAACCCCATGGTTTTTAATAGGTCATTTTCCCTACCAGTTTTGTTTTAGCTTGTTGGATAAAATGTATTCCCTTAATGACTTAGCTCTTTTTTGGATCCTTCATTGTGTTTATTGGCCACTGGTATTAGGCATGGTATTCATCCTGGGTGTTGTCCACTGTAAACCTATTTCATTTCCATCATTATTAACCTTTACAATTGGGAGGGAGTAAGGAGTATTCTTTTTTTTAAAAAAAATTTCAATTAATATTCATTTTCTCCCTCCCACCTTTGTCTCCCCCCAAATTAGAAAAAGAAAAAGGGAAATGAAAAACCTTGTAACAAATATTCATAGTCAAGAAAAACAAAATCCTACGGTGGCCATGTTCAAAAATGTGTGCATCATTAGCCCATAACCTCTGTCAGGAGATGGATGTATAGATAGCATGTTTCCTCATCCATTCTCTGGAATAATGATTGACTCTTGCATTGATCAGAGTTTTCAAGTTTTTCAAAGTTGTTTGTGTCTATAATGTTGTTATTGTATCAGTCTTTCTCCTTGCTCTGCTCATTTTACTCTGCATCAGTTAATACAATTCTTGCTAGTTTTTTTAAACCATATGTTTTGTTATTTCTTATGGCATATTAGCATTGTATTACATTCATATGCCACAATTTAGTCAGCCATTCCCTAATAGATGAGCACCCCTCTGTTTCCCATAAATATTTTTGTACATATCGTTCCTTTTCTTCTTTCTTTGATCTCTTTAGGTATTACGGAGTCAAGGGGTATTCACGGTTTACCAATTTGGAAGGCATAGTTCCAAACTGCTTTCCAGAATAGCTGGTACCTTTAACATTTACTAATGAAAGAAATTTATTTACTATATAAAACTGTTAAGTCATGTTATGGAAATTATAATTCATGATCTAATATTACTTTGTTTCCTGTTGTATTTAATAGGCACTAATGTAGCTGGTACAGGATTTGAAGTCAGGAAGACCTGAGTTCAAATCCTGCTTCAGGCATTTACTAGCTATGTGACCTTGGGCAAGTCACTTAACTTCTCTCTGCCTCACTTTCCTCATCTGTAAAATGAGGGTGATAATAGCACCTACCTCACAGGGTAATAAAACAAAATAACATATATAAAGCATTTTGCAGACCTTAAAATTTTATACAGGGTGTCCCAAAAGTTTTATTGTAGTTTTAAGTGTTAGCTTAAAGACTACTGGGACACTTTATAAATACCAGATATTATTCGTATGCACAGAGATGTCTATTTACATTTGGGGGATTGTAATTTCATTTGTATAATTAACTCCCAGTGTGAAAATTCTCTCTATAAATGCAGGTCAGCAACCTGTGCATAACTTTTAGTTTTAGACAGTTAATTGCTCCGGGCACGTGTTTTATTAATGTTTCTTTTTTTTAATATTTTTTTTTGGCTAGGCAGTGGGGTTAAGTGACTTGCCCAGGGTCACACAGCTAGTAAGTGAAAAGTGTCTGAGGATGGATTTGAACTCGGGTCTTCCTGACTCCAGGGCTGATGCTTTATTCACTGCACCACCTAACTGCCCCTTTATTAATGTTTTAATTGCGTCTTTCTGACCCCATTTGGGATTTTCTTGGCAAAGGTATTGGAGTGGTTTGCCATTTCCTTCTCCAGCTCATTTGACAGATGAGGAGACTGAGGCAAACAGGGTGAAGTGACTTACCCACCGTCACACAGCTAGTAATTGTCTGAGGCCAGATTTGAACTCATGAAGATGAGTCTTCCTGTCACCAGGTCCGGGGCTCTATCCACTGCACCATCTAGCTGCTCCGGGCATAGAGAGGTTAAATGACTTGCCCAGAGTCACAGTGCTAGTATGTATGAGAAGCAGGACTTGAACCCCAGTCTTCTATATTCTGAGGCCAGCCTAATATGCCATGCTACCTCACATTGATTCATTCCTGTTTGGCAATTTCCAAAATCTTTTTAAAAACAAGAACTAAAAGCCACTACTTAGGTTTGTCCTTTGAAGGGGGTATAAAATTAGCTGTTAAACATATTTTAACAAATTATTATGTTGTTGTTATATATATTAATGACTGAGTTTATTTGTTTGGTTGGTTTTTTGTCCATTTTAAGCTCACTACGAAGAAATGTACAATAACCTATTTGCTTTGGCCTGTTACTTCAACAACCCGGATGACAAGTGGTTGAGAAATTACTTTTATGAACGATGTTTTAATATTGCTCAACTGATCAAGGCCGATGGTGGGAGAAAGGAAGCGGAAGCCTACTCACATATGGGTCTTCTCTATGAGGAAAATGGTGAGTAAGATCTGGAGAGTCTGTATCTAGAGCCATTCCCAGACCCTGTTCCCTATGCTAGGGGGACCATGCAGTAGCAAGGAGGGAGCTAGCAAAGAAGGTGGAGGTAATAACGTCACTGTTAATGGAGGAAAGGCCATGGATGATAAAGCAGAACGATAGCATGAGTGGGGCCATAGGGGACTCTCATTAAGGAAGGGTTGCTTTCTCCCTACCTCATGGCTTCCAAAGGGTATTGTCCATCTCTCAGGATTTGCTTCCCCTTGCAAGGTCCTGCCGCACCAGCTGTATCCCTTCCCCATCCTCCTAGGCTTTGCCTAGCATAACTGTACCCAATTAAGCTTTTGCATCTTCTCCCACAACTGCATTTGCCCTTCCAGGATTCCAATTTCACCTCTTCTCTAAAATGATATGACTATTACTTTATAGAAATAAAATATAATTACATATCTTCTAGAAATCATTCACATGACTGAATTCACCCGTTAGCCTTTGAAACTTCCACGCCCAGTTATAATCACAAAGGTAGCTTGAATATGACTATTTCTATTTCAATACATACTCTCCTTGTGCTGTATGTTTTCTTTTGGATGCAGTTGAGGTTAAGTGACTTATAAGTGTCAGCTTATAAGTGTCAGAGGCCAGATTTGAACTCAGGTCCTCCTGACTCCTGAGCTGGTGCTCTATCTACTGCGCCACCTAGATGCCCATGTATGTTGCTTTTTGAGTAAGTTCTTTTTCCCTTCGAAACTGCCCTCATTGATCTTTATAATTTGATTTCTCCACAAAAATGATAGGTTCAGCTAAGCAGTGCAATTCTTCTTTAGGGCTCTCAGTCCATTAGACCTGAGTCTATCAGTAGGGATTTCACATAATTCTTTTTAATTAGATTTTTTAAGAAGCATTCATTTTCTTTCCCCTCCCAGCTTCCCCCACCCAACTAGAAAACCAAACCAAACCTCAGTAATAAGTACCCATAGACAAGCAAAACAAATTCCTGCTTTGGCCAGGTTCCAAAAACGTGTCTCATTCTGCATATCTAGTCCATCCCCTGTCCCTGAAGAGGTGGGGGTGGCATTCTTCATCATCAAAGCTTTGGAACTATGGTTGGTAATTGTATTGATTGGAGTTCTTTAGTCTTTCAAAGTTGTTTGTTTTTACAATGTTATTGTTGTATAAATTGTCCTCGTGGTTCCTCTCACTCCTCTGTGTATTAGTTCATAAAAGTCTTCCCATGTTTCTCTGAAACCCTCCTCTTCATTGTTTATTATGGCACAATAGTATTCTATGACCTTCATTTACCATATTTTGTTCAGTCATTTATATTTCAAATCTCACCCTTTTAATTTTTGTGAGATTTTAAAGATGAATATTCACTTAGAGTATAATAACAATTGACAATATACTTCAGAAATATTCCAGACTGGGAAATTATTATCTAAAACCTTCAGAAAACAAGATTTATTGGTCAGGGCAGAAGATATGATCTGGAGGAACTTTGGACATGAGACTGTGCAAATTTAGACATCAGACACCGTTTATCAGTCACCGATTATGTATAGAGCGCTATGCTAAGTATTGAGGAAGAAGAATCCAAAAATTGGATAGACCATGAACTCTACATCCAAGATGCTCATTGTAGCACTTGTATAGGAATGGGAGGAAGGCAGCGCTTCAGAAGATCAGGGTGGCAGTGGCATGGAGAATAGAACTGACTGTTATGCTCATCTAGACATGAGACTCAGAAAAACAGTATGAATGATTTTACTCTCCTGTTTAAAAATCAATATCTTTTCAGGACTCTTTAATGTCAGAATTTGGACAATTATTTCCCCAGAATCAATGTTCATGTCAATTTTACAATTTAATAAAATTATAGTGTTTTTTATTTTCTAAAAGCATATACTTTTAAAGTTTTAAAACTCAGTTACAAATATTCCTTCCTCTAATGGGTTAGTGGAAACATTACTGAATTTGGAGTCTGAAGACATGAGTTGGAATCCTGATTTCAACACATTCCTTTGTGTGACCTTGGGCAAGTAATTGAGCCCCTTCAGTCTCAGTTTCTTTATTCCTAAAATGAAAAAATTGGACTAAATGATCTTTAAGGTTTATCTCTGCTCTAAATTGTGTTATGCTGTAATTACTAGATAAAAGATCTCTCTTTAGTGGACACGCTTGGCTAATCACTAATGCTACCTACTTGTTATGATAGCAGGACTATAAGGGGGAAATTGGTGGCTTGCAGTCTCCTTGGTGTTTTTTTTTTAAGTGATATATTAGAATATTATAGCTAATTAAGTTACCTTGATGCTAAGTAAGTATTCTGTATAGACATTTTACATAATCTAGTCTGTTCCGAGTGTTTTTTAAAAAAATAATCTTCTGTGTTGTTATTATCTATCTATCTATTATCTATATACACATATATATATATACATACACATATATATTTAGTTTTAGTTTTCAACATTTACTTCCACAAGATTTTGAGTTCCAAATTTTCACCCCATCTTGCCCCTCCCCCCACCCCAAGATGGCATGCATTCTGAATACCCCTTCCCCTAGTCTGTTTTCCCTGCTATCTCTCCCCCCTTCCCCTTCTATTTTCCTGTAGGCAGGATAGATTTCTGTACCCCATTTCCCGTATTTCTTATTTCCCAGTTAATTGTGAAAAAAATTTTTTTAAACATGTGTTTTTTAAACTTTGGGTTCCAAATTTTCTCCCTTCCTTCTTCCCCACCCACCCTCATTGAAAAGGCAAGCAACTCAATATAGGCTATACATGTGCAGTTATGCAAAATACTTCCATAGTAGACATGCTGTGAAAAACTAAGTCTATTTCTCTTAATCCTATCCCACCCTCCCCATTTATTCTATTCTTTCTTTTGACCCTGTCCCTCCTCAGAACTATTTGCTTCTGATTACCCCCTTGCCCAATCTGCCCTCCTCTCTATCATCCCCCTACTCTCTTGTCCCCTTCCCCTCCTATTTTCCTGTAGGGTAAGACAGATTTCCATACCCAATTGAGTGTGTATGTTATACCCTTCTTAAGTCAAATCCTATGAGAATAAGATTCACTCATTTCCTCTCACCTTCCCCCATTTCCCCTCCACTGTAAGAGCCTTTTCTTTTCTGGCTTTTTGTGAGATAATTTACCCTGTTCTACCTTTCCCTTTCTCCTTCTCCTAGTATAATCCTCTCTCACCCCTTAATTTTATTCTCCAGATATGACCCCTTCATCTTCAACTCACCCTGTGCCCTCTATCTATCTATCTATCTATCTATCCATCTATCTATCTATATACATATATTATATATGTATATATGTATACATACATATAATTTTTTCCCTCCAACTACCCTAATACTGACAAAGGTCTCATGAGTTACAAATATCATCTTTCCATGCAGGAATGCAAACAGTTCAACCTTAATAAGTCTCTTATGATTTCTCTTTCCTGTTTACCTCTCCATGTTCCACTTGAGTCTTGTATTGGAAAGTCAAATTTTCTATTCAGCTCTGGTCTTTTCATCAAGCATGCTTTAAAGTCCTCTGTTTCACTGAATGATCATTTTTTCCCCTGAAGAATTATACTCAGTGTTGCTGGGTAGGTGATTCTTGGTTGTAATCCTATCTCCTTTGCCCTCCAGAATATTATATTCCATGCTCTGTGGTCCGTTAATGTAGAAGCAGCTAAATCTTGTGTAATCCTGATTGTGTTTCCACAATACTTGAATTGTTTCTTTCTGGCTGCTTGTAATATTTTCTCCTTGACCTGGAAACTCTGGAATTTGGCTACAATATTCCTAGGAGGTTTCCTTTGGGGATCTCTTTCAGGAGGAGATCGGTAGATTCTTTCAATTTCTATTTTGCCCTCTGGTTCTAAAATATCAGGGCAGTTTTCCTTGATCATTTCTTGAAAGATGATGTCTTTCAAGAAATGAAAGATGATGTCTAGGCTCTTTTTCTGATCATGGCTTTCAGATAGTCCAATAATTTTTAAATTCTCTCTCCTGGATCTATTTTCCAGGTCAATTGTTTTTCCAATGAGATGTTTCACATTGTTTTCTAATTTTTCATTCCTTTGGATTTGTTTTATGATGTCTTAATTTCTCATAAAGTCACTAGCTTCCAATTGCTCTATTCTAATTTTTAAGGAAGTATTTTCTTCAGTAATCTTTTGGACTTCCTTTTCCATTTGGCCAATTTTGCACTTTAGGGTATTCTTTTCTTCATTGGCTTTTTGGACCCCTTTTGCCATTTGGGTTAGGCTATTTTTTAAGGTGTTATTTTCTTCAGTATTTTTTTGTGTCTCCTTTAGCAAGCTGTCAACTTGTTTTTCATGATTTTCTTGCATTACTCTTATTTCTCTTTCCAGTTTTTCCTCTACTTCTCTTAGTTGCTTCTCAAAATCCCTTTTGAGCTCTTCCAAGGCCTGGGACTGATTCATGTTTTTCTTGGAAGTTTTGGATGTAGGAGCTTTGACTTTGTTTTCTTCTTCTGGTTGTATGTTTTGATCTTCTTTGTCACCAAAGTAAGATAATATAGTCTGACTCTTTTTGCGCTGCTTGCTCATGATCCCAACCAATTATTTGAGTTTTAAACTCTTTGTTAAGGTAGATTCTGTTTCCAATGTGGAGAATGTACTGTCCCAAGCTTTGGGGGTTTGTACAGCTGTTTTCAAAGATACTTCTAGGGACCTGAAAAGTGTTAGTTCTTCCAAGGTGCTATGATAATGGGCGAGGTGTTTCTGCTCCACCACACCAGCGCTCCTCCTCGCCCCAGGACCACCCCTCAGAACTGTGACCCAGATCCAAGCACGGGCAAAGCAAGAGATTCATGCCTCAGCCTTGGCAAAGAGATCCTTGCAATCCCCCTCTAATCAGCCACTCGATTCCCCCTCAGTCTGTGGGCCAGAAGCTCAGAAGCCAGCCGCTGCCCTTGGGGCGACTAACATCTAGCTTCTTCTCTCACTGCAGTAACAGACTTTTCCCACTGACCTTCCAAGTTGTCTTTGGCGTTCATGGGTTGAGAAGTCTGGAAACCGCCACAGCTGCCTGCGATTCAGTCCTCTGAGGCCTGCTCCAGGGTCGCTGCAGCCTGCACACCCATGCCAAACTGCGCTCCTCTCCCCACCCAGCGCGATATACCTTTATGA